GGTATTCCCATCTCTTTCAGAATTTTCCACAGTTTGTTGTGATCACCTAGTCAAAGGCTTTGGCATAGTCAATAAAGCAGAAATAGATGGTTTTCTGGAACTCTCTTGCTTTTTCAGTGATCCAACAGATGTTGGCAATTTGATCTCTGGTTCCTCTGCCTTTTCTAAAACCAGCTTGAACATCTGGAAGTTCACGGTTCACATATTGCTGAAGCCTGGCTTGGAGAATTTTGAGCATTACTTTACTAGCGTGTGAGATGAGTGCAATTGTGGGGTAGTTTGAGCATTCTTTGGGATTGGAATGAAAACTGACCTTTTCCAGTCCTGTGGCCACTGCTGAGTTTTCCAAATTTGCTGGCATATTGAGTGCAGCACTTTCACAGCATCATCTTTTACGATTTGAAAGAGCTCAACTGGAATTCCATCACCTCCACTAGCTTTGTTTGTAGTGATGCTTCCTAAGGCCCACTTCACATTCCAGGATGTCTGATTCTAGGTGAGTAATCACACCATCGTGATTAACTGGGTCGTGAAGATCTTTTTTGTGCAGTTTTGTGTATTCTTGCCACCTGTTCTTAATATCTTCTGCTTCTATCAGGTGCATACCATTTCTGTCCTTTATTGAGACCATCTTTGCATGAAATGTTCCCTTGGTATCTCTGATTTTCTTGAAGAGATCTCTGGTCTTTCCCATTCTATTGTTTTCTTCTATTTCTTTGCATTGATCGCTGAGAAAGGCTTTCTTATCTCTCCTTGCTATTCTTTGGAACTCTATATTCAAATTGGTATATATTCCTTTTCTTCTTTGCTTTTCGCTTCTCTTCTTTTCTCAGCTATTTGTAATGCCTCTCAGACAGCCATTTTGCTTTTTTGCATTTCTTTTTCCTGGGGATGGTCTTGATTCCTGTCTCCTTGTACAATGTCACGAACCTCTGTCCATAGTTGATCAGGCAGTCTGTCTATCAGATCTAGTCCCTTAAATCTATTTGTCACTTCCACTGTATAATCATAAGGGGTTTGATTTAGGTCATACCTGAATGGTTTAGTGGTTTTCCCCACTTTCTTCAATTTGAGTCTGAATTTGGCAATAAGGAGTTCATGTTCTGAGCCACAGTCAGCTCCCCGTCTTGTTTTTGCTGACTGTATAGAGCTTCTCCATCTTTGACAGCAAAGAGTATAATCAGTCTGATTTCTGTGTTGGCCATCTGGTGATGTCCATGTGTAAAGTCTTGTTCATTATGCATATTAATTTAATACATTTATTATGTGTATTAAGTTCGTACAAATGTAAATGTGGTTTCAGACCATGAATTTTAAATCACTATAACTAGGCTCAAATACATCTTTATTAATCAAAATAGGAACCATTACAATCACACAGTTTTGCCAATGAGAAATAAGTTTATTTATTCCCGTAGCGTAAAAATCCATGCTTTGGTATTTGATGGACTCTTGAAAAGCTTTTTCTGCCTCCTGCTGGTTGTGGAAGTGTTTTCCCTGCAAAAAGTTGTTGAGATACTTGAAGAAGTAGTAGTGGGTTGGTGGGAGGTAAGGTGAATATGACTGATGAGGCAAAGCTTTGTAGCCCAATTCATTCAATGTTTAAAGCGTTGGTTGTGTGATGTGCGATCAAGTGTTGTCACGGAGAATTGTGCCCTTTATGTTGACCAGTGCCAGCTGCAGGCTTGGAGATTTTGGTGCATCTCATCGATTTGCTGAGCATACTTCTCAGATGTAATGGTTTCACCAGGATTCAGAAAGCTGTAGTGGGTCAGATGGGCAGGAGACCACCAAACAGTGACCATGACCTTTTTTGGGTGCAAGTAGGCTTTGGGAAGTGCTTTGGAGCTTCTCAGTCCAGCCACTGAGCTGGTCGTTGCCCCTTGTCCTATGAAATCCACTTTTTATCGCACATCACAATTTGAGAAATGGTTTGTTGTTGTGTAGAGTAAGAGAAGACAGTTCAAAACGATTGGTTTTTATTTGCAGTCCCCTTATGAGGCTGCAAAAAGCTTGTCAAGCTTTTTTATCCTTGCTATTCATTTCAAATGCTGGACGACTGTCGTCGTTGAGCTCTTTGGCAACTTCAGCTTCGATGATCTTCTAAATTGGTGCTTGTCAGCTTCCGATGGCCCGCTACTGTGCTCCTCATCTTCAAGGCTCTCATCTTCCTTTGCAGAACTTCTTGAACCACCGCTGGCATTGTATGTCCACCAGTAGTTCCTGGGCCAAATGGACTGTTGATGTTGTGAGTTGTCTTTGCTGCTTTACGAACTTGAATGAGAAAATTGCTAGAATTTACTTTTTGTCTGGCATCATTTCCCAAGTTTAAAATAAATATGAAATAAACAGTAAGTAATAAGTCATTAGCAACAAAGCAAGAAATGTGCATTGAAATGATGTGTAACATAACCATATTTAAGAATGTATTCCAGTATCAAATGAAAAGTTCAGCAATTCTAAACTGCAGTTACTTTTGCACCAACCTAATAGTATTTTATTTAGGAAACAAACCTTAAGTATGTTAATGTTTCTATAAGCATACAGAAGTATATGGAAGCTTTTACCTTGGTGAGTGGGAGTGAAAGTTGCTCAGTTGTGTCCAACTCTTTGTGACCCCATGGACTATACAGTCCATGGAGTTCTCCAGGCCAGAATACTGGCTTGGGTAGCCTTTCCCTTCTCCAGGGGATCTTCCCAACCAGAGATCGAACCCAGGTCTCCCGCATTGCAGACGGATTCTTTACCAGCTGAGCCACAAGGGGAGCCTAAGAATACTGGAGTGGGCAGCCTGTCCCTTCTCCAGGAGATCTTCCTGAACCAAGAATTGAATTGGGGGGTTGCAGGGGGAAACCATCATTTTTTAATTATACATATTTGTATTATTTACATGTATTACTTTAGTAATTTTTAAAAGGTTCTTAAAAAAAAAAGCCTATCTTATCTGGTTTCAGCTTTTCATTTCCTTCTTGTCCTTAATATTTGAATGCAATCACACTAAAGTTTGGCACACATTAGATAAATCAAAATGATTGCCTTTTTTGGGGGCTGGGCAGTTGTTCAGCTTTGTACTCATCTTTTAGTTTTCTTAATTTTAAGGCCTGATTTCTTTTGACTAGTTTTAATGTTCTCACTGTTTAGATTTCTATTAATTTTTATAAAAGATAAAATTAATAAAATTTATTTTCAGATTTTAAAAAATTAGATGTCTTTTTAAAAAAATCAAAGTACAGTTGATTTACACCATTAGTTAGTTTCAGGTATACAACACAGTGATTCAATATTTTTATAGATTATACTCCATTTAAAGTTACTATGAAGTATTGGTTATATTCCCCTTGCTGTACAATATATCCTTAGAGTTTGTTTATTTTATGCATAATAGTTTGTACCTCTCCCTGTCCTCTGTCCCTCTCTCCACTGGTAACAAATGGCAGCATTTTATTCTTCTTTATGACTGAGAAATATATTATTACTTATATAAATATATATGTATACATACACACACATATACGTCCATATGCACACTTTCCATAACTTCTTTACACATTCATCTGTTGATGGGCACTTAAGTTGCTTCTGTTATCTTGGCTGTTGTAAAGAGTGCTGCGATGAATGTTAGGTTGCATGAATCTTTTTGAGTTAGTGTTTTCATTTTCTTCAAATATATACCCAGGAGTGAAATTGCTTTATCATATGATCAAAAACTAAAAATATTAGTCTTATTTTTTTTAATGGAATCTTATTTGGATATCCTAAATGTAAACAGCTTTCTTGGAACTGTAGTTCTAAGAGTATAGTTTAAACAAACTTCTGATAAGCAGGGAGTATCATCATACTGTAGCTCAAAATGTTTATTCAGTTCAGTTCAGCCACTCAGTTGTGTCTGGCTCTTTGCGACCCCATGGACCACAGCACACCAGGCCTCCCTGTCCATCACCAACTCCCAGAGTTTACTCAGACTTAGGTTGATTTACTTGGTGATGCCATCCAACCATCCTCTGTTGTCCCCTTCTCCTCCCACCTTCAATCTTTCCCAGCATCTGGGTCTTTTCAAATGAGTCAGTTCTTCGCATCAGGTGTCCAAAGTATTGGAGTTTTAGCTTCAACATCAGTCTTTCCAATGAATATTCAGGGTTGATTTCCTTTCAGATGGACTGGTTTGATCTCGTTTCAGTCCAAGGGACTCTTGAGAGTCTTCTCCAACACCACAGTTCAAAAGCATCAGTTCTTTGACGCTCAGCTTTCTTTATAGTGCAACTCTCATATCCCTTCATAACTACTGAAAAAACCATACCAAATGTAATTTTGACATTTACACATTAGTAATAAACATTTTTTAGAAAAAATTTACACTAATGTGTAAATGCCTAATATAGAAATGTTCAGAGATGTGTGTATCAAAATGTTATTTGCTGAAGAAATTAATATAGAGAATTATGTATTTAACCAACTACCAAATTATGTTATAGCCTAAGTGCTATCTATTGTTTAGACTGGAGATGACTCCTGTTGGTTGACTGCTGTTAATGAAGGGTTTAAGAGAGTAGTTGGGATTTAAGATAACTTGACTGATTTGAGCTTTTTGAAGTTTGTTACATAAGTGTAAAATACACCATTACATGTTTACGTTAAGAACGTTTTAATGAAAAATAACTTTTCAAAACAAAAAATATTCAGTGAGAAGAGAGGTATTGTTTTGCATTTTTACAAACCTGTTTAATGTTTGCCTAGATAGAAGTTGGCTGGATTCTATATTCACAGTGTTTCACAGCTTGAATAGCATCAGTAGAACTTATCTCTAAACTTACGAGATAATGAGAGTAAAAAGGCAAGTGCCATCTTGGTATGATAATGAAAATCAGTGTGACCTCTTGGGGCCCCTGCACAAGCCCCAGTTCCGCACCCACACTTTGCAGGCCACTCTGTACTTGGTGTGCTGTAGGATTCCTGGTATGTTGCACATGTTCCATCAACTCTCTTTCTTTGTTTTGTTGCAGAGTCCTTTGGGCAGAATTATCCAGAGGTAAGAGTATAATATTGTGATTTTAGAAACACGGCAACTTGCTAGCGTTTATGTTTGAGTAGAGTGAAAACTACATTTTCATCTTTTTTTTCCTTTGATAATAGAAGCATTAAGTGTGATGATCTTTTGCTATAAAAGTAACTAAAGTTTAATTTTGAATAGGGTGGGAAGTAGACAGGCCATATTGGTTGGAAATCTCAATGTTGTAAATCTTATGGTTCATATCCCTTTAAATTTAAAAAAGACTTTGATTAAAGCATTTTTCACAAACAGTACTATCACCTGTATGAAAATGTTTTTTTCTGTGTATTTTTATAGTTTTGATCAGTTTTTACATAATAATACATGTATACTGTAAGTGTGCTTTACTTTTTAAAATGTAAAAATATTTTTGTAATACTTGGGATGTTTAAATGGCTTGATATTAATATAAATTTATTTGATTTTCCTAGGGATTTTGTTTTATTAATAGATTTTCTTTCTTGGAATAAATTTCAAGAACTATGATTGCTTGAACAGTAAGATGACTCTTAGTGAATCCTGGTTTATTTTGCCTAATTGCCTTCTGGAGAATTTGTATAAAGTCATAGTAGTAATATAAAAGATTGGTCACATCTGTTTCTAAGAATCCTCTGTTAGTTTTTATAAATCTTTCTTCATTTTGGTTTAAGAAATACAAGAACACACATAGATTATTTTGATATGTTTCATAGTTTAAATTCAAAAGAAGTATCACAGATGTTAGAGAAACTTTTAAGAAATGATTTGGATATCTGGGTATTAATTTCTGTATTCTTACCTTCATTTTAATTTTTAGGAAGCTGATGGAACTTTGGATTGTATCAGCATGGCCCTGACTTGCACCTTTAACAGGTGGGGCACACTGCTTGCAGTTGGCTGTAATGATGGCCGAATCGTCATCTGGGATTTCTTGACAAGAGGCATTGCTAAAATAATTAGTGCACACATTCATCCAGTCTGTTCTTTATGGTAAGGAGTTTTAAAGTTAATGTATTAAATATGAATTAAATTGGGATGAGTGGTAACTGTATAATTGCCAGTCTCATTAGATAAATTTTAATATTTAAAGTCTTAAGTATTTGGCCATTAGTAACATAATTTCTCATAGCTTGTAGAAAGGTTGAACTCATGCTGATATTGAACGCTTTTGTGGGGAGAAATTCATTGTAATGTGGATCAGTGTCAGGCTCTGTCTGAGAATACTGCAGTACTGAAATGAGACATTTGCAGATTGCAGCTATAATCTTATTTGTGATATTGACCTTTTCATTTAGAATAAAAAAATCTTGGTTAGGAGGGCAGCTTGAAAGTTCAAGTGTCCAGCCTTGTCCTCTTTTTGAATTACAGCAGTTGTAGTGATCACAAACTGCCTGTTCCTTCATTGAATTGTAATTATTAAGGGTTTCTATCAAATATATTGAGCTGAAATCTGGTATTAAATAAATTCCCTTTGATTTCATTCTTATTCTCAGGGACGGTTTCTTTCCAAAAATTTTATTTTGGGGCAACACTTCTTTTAAATGAGCTTGGGATCAAAAACACCTTATCAGGTCTAGATTTATTAAACTAACATAGTTCCTTTGGCCTAAGTATAAGCAGCAGTGGTATTGGGAGGAGGCCTGAATCCCAATCTAGGATTGGCCACTAATGAAGTAGCAGCTTTGGCCAGAGCTTTTCTCTAAATTGCAAAATGAGAGAACTGGCCTGTATAATTTCTTAGGCTCTTTCTGGTTCTTCTGCATTTTATTTCTTTTTTATTATTGTGCTTTTGCAATAAAGATTTAAGTAGATATGTACATTTTTATCGGCTTTATTAAGATATGTATAATTCACATGCTGTGACATCCACCCAACTAAAATGTACATTTCACTTTTTTGTATTTTCAGAGTTGTGCAGCTGTCATTACAATCTAATTTTAGAAGTGCTACCACTTAAATTATTCATATTTTTATTATAAAATAATAATATTTAGAAAATTAAAGAAAATGCAAATACAATACAAAGGAGAAAGACTATCTTCCATTGTCTTACCACTCAGATATAACTACTATAAATATTTTGATTTGTTACTATATATTTTTTAAAAGCAAAGTTTGTGTGCCATGTTTTATATTTTGCTTTTTTCCTCTTTAACACCAGACATTTTCCTGCTTGTGTACCCTTTAAAAACTTTTTTAATGGCTGTGTATCTTCTGGTAGATAAACCATAATTTGCTCAATCACTTTTTGCTTCTCTGCGGCGGTAGTGTTTAGTCAGTGTCCTCGTACGTAAAAGTTTTTCCTCTCGTACGATCATTTCTTCAGCAAGCATTGAGCGTGAGTTATGTGCCAGATACTGTTTTAGGCATTTAGGGTAAAGGTTAGGGTTTGGGGGAGACAAAACAAGTCCTAACGGTTTGTGGGTCCTACATAAGAACTACATTTGACATCTAGTGGAGGCAAGGTGCAAAGGCGGAAATGATCAATTGTATTGGAGAAGAATAGTGGTCAGAAAAGGCTTCAAAGATAAGGTGATTTCTAACCTCAGACTTGTAAGATGAGTGGGTGTTTCCAGCTGTATTCCAAGCAGACGGCTCTGCACAGACAAGCACGTAGGCTTCATACGAGCATGGTAACAGGAGGAACCGCAGTGGTTCAGATTCGCTGGGCTGTGCTGTGGAAGATGTAGGGCAGCAGCCAAGGTAACCTGTGCTCCGAGGAGCACATCGCGTGCCGCCCTGTAAACTGAAGTCTCATCCTGTTGGCACTGTGCAGCCGTTAAAACACTGTAGGAAGAAAGGTGACCCGATGTGCTTCTCATTTTAGAAGGATCTCGAGCAGCATGTGGGAAAGAGGGTGGCAAATGAAAACAGGAGTGCAGTGGTCTCGGTTAGAGAGGATGAGGATGGCTGCAGTAGAAATGCAGCTGAATGGGACAGGTGTGAGAGAGGGTAGAAATTAGAGGGTGAAGGCCTTGATTAGATACAGGGTTTAAGTGAAGTAGAGAAGTTAAGGTGACCCTTAGGTTTCCTGCTTGGATGATGTTAATGTAAGATTTGAGGGAGATACAGTGAATCACAGTTGTGTGTCTACTGATGTACTTTATTGCACATAGTTGTTTTATGAGTATCTGCCCTGGAATATGGTAAGGGATGTGGATACAAGAATCTTATCTGCCATTTTACTGCTATATTCCCAGCTTCTAGCACTATACCTGGTATACGGTAGACACATAGGTACTTGTTGGATGAGTGGGGTATCTTAGTGAAGATGCCCAGTAGGCATTTGATCTGTGTTTTTTCATTAGTGTAGACTTTCAGAAGTACATTACTACTAGGTCAGAAGGCTTGAACAGTGAGAGATTTCTCCATCTGTCCCCCGTTTTAAGATTTTTTATCACAAAACATGATTATTAAGAACTTTATTTTTTTTTTTATTAAAAACTTTAAAAACATTCAAACAATATATGAGTATATAGAGTAAAAAATGAAAGCCCCTTGTCTACTCCTTGAGGTATCCCCAGGCAAGAATACTGGAGTGGATTGCCATGCTCTCCTCCAGGGCATCTCCCCAACCCAGGGGTCAAACCCAGGTTTCCCGCATTGCAGGCAGATTCTTTACCATCTGAGCCACCAGGGAAGCCCAAATTAGAGTATGAAATGTATCTTTTATCTGTAAGATCTATCTGTATCTCTCACATATGTAAAAATGTACATACACAAGTAAATGTGTATTTTTTTAATGGAAACATTGTTTTATTGCTTCCTCTTGCACTTAATAGATAGTAGATGTTTTTCTGTATTGATATATATGTGTATGTGTAGACATGTATAATATTACTTGGTTCGTGTGCATTGTAACTGTTCCCTGATTTTTGTTATATATATTTATACACGAGAGTTAAGGTCAGTAACTACACACATTTTGCATTTTTCTTTGATCCAGCCTCATTTAGAATATGACTTTATGTATTAATTGTTGTATAATATTTGAATATATTAAAGACTAAGAAAATTTCACCAAGAGGCGTTTTGGATAGGTACGATAGCTGTCTTCAACAAGAACTGACATATGCAACACAGAAAAATTGACCTAAGGAGAAGCAGCAAGACTCATAGATAGTGAGTGGAATTTATGGGGAAACAAATGTTAGCTTAGAATAGAGAAGAGCTCCCAAGCAGAGTGCCCATAGATGGGCTGGACTGCCCAGGGAAGAATTTACCAGTGGGACTGTCTCTTCTTAGAATTGCTGCAGAAGATATTCAAGCACTGGGTGGGGGCCACTGGATAGGTAGAAAAAATGATATTTAAGACTCCAAGACCTATCTGTCTTTTGGAAAGAAACAATGTTGTTAGAAGATGTGAGAATGTATGAGAATCCTGTCGTTCTTGAATTTAGGGAATTTGGAGCTGAGCAATGGATTGTTAATCCCCTCTATTGTAACGGAAACACAGGCCTGCTGTAAAACAAAGTCATTCAATGCTGAGGGTTTAAAGGGGAAGTGGAGTCATGGGTAACACTGTTGTGTAGTCAGAGCGTCCTGCAGTGCTTAGAAGTGCTGCGGAAGCTGCCCCTCGTTCCTGCCGTTCCCAGTGCACTTCCGTTCTTCCCGTTTGTTTCTCTTGGTATTTGTCTTAATATTTCTCAAGTACTTATGTGTAGTACTTCTTCTTAGTTTAATTCAGAGAACTTACTTGTGACTTCTGACTACAGTGTATGTGAGTCTTCGCTCACCCTCTTACCCTCTCATCTCCCACGGAAGTTGGGTGGACCATTGACCTTTCTGCTATCAGCCCTCAAGTTGCAGCGTGTGTAGGCATCTTCCTTTTTAGGCTCACGTTCCCCAGAAAGACCCTCTTGTTGACTGGGAGTGTTCTAGAGGTGGTGGGAGAGGCGACTGAGTCCTCTGTGTGCAGACTGGAGCCCAGTCCCACCACAGGCACTCCCTCAGCTTGCTCCTGCCGTTCTCTGCCGTGAGTTTCAAGTCTGGGAATACATTTATCTTGTCTCTGGTACAAATAATGGTTTTTGAGCACTTACTCTTCTGGACTAAGAGTTTGATGTGCATTAATTTTAATTTTCTCGTCTGCAGATACTGTTATTATTTCCATGTTATAAATGAAAAAGTTGAAGTTCAGAAAGATTATATAACTTGCCCAAGACCACACAGCTAGAAGGTCATAATGTCTAGGCTTGAGCATAAATCTGACTTGAGCCTGTGTTTTTAACCATGGAACTGTGTTGCCTCCTATAAGTTCCTAAGTAGCAAATCCTATTCATTGCAAAATTTGAATAAAGACTCATTTAGGGTTTCTTTTTCTGTTTGTTTGTTCTGTTTTTTGTTTCTGTTTTTTCTTTTTTTTTGGCTTTCTGTAGGTTACTGAACTATTTTAGAACTTCACCTTGACTTATCTGTAGTATTTTTGAGTTTGTCTAGCTTGTATAGCTTTTTAATGGTTGCTAGGTATTACATTTTATCTACATAACTTATCACAGTCTACTCCCGTTGACGTTTTGCTAGTTGAAGCGAAATATAGAAACTTCCCCTTTACCTCCCTTCCCTTCCTTGTTTATAATGTAATTGTCTTAAATGTTTCCTCTCTGTATATTGATAACCTACCTAAGACAGTGTTAGGATTTTTGTTTGAAACATCAGACCTTGAGAAAGTGTATTTAATTTTTTAAACACTTTTCATTATTCTTTCTTCCTGATGTTCTAAGATTTCTTCTTTCCTGATGATCTAAGATTTCTTCTCTGCGTAGAGAACCTCCGTCAGCCATTCTCTCATTTTGTCTGCTGGTGACAAAAGGTCTTGATTTACCTGTTTGTTTCTGAAGGTTACTCTCTGGATGTAGAATTGGCGATGACAGGTCTTTTCTTCCAACGCTTGAAAACATGTCACTTCCTTTGGTCTTCATGGTTTCTGATGCAAAATTTGCTGTCATGTGAGTTGTTGTTCCCCATAGGTAAGATGTCATTCCTCTTGCTGCTTTCAAGATCTTTTTTCTTTTGTCTTTAGTTTTCAAAAATTTGTATCTGGGAGTGGATTTCTTTGAATTCATCTTCTTTGAGGTTTGCTTAGCTTCTTGAATCTGTATGTTTTATATCTTTTGTCAAATTTGAAAAAATTTCAGTCATTATTTCTTCAAATACTTTTAAGCCTTACCCTCTTTATTTTCTCCTTCCAAACTCTGATGCCATGGATATTAGATACTAGATCTTTTGTTATAGTCCCACAGGTCCTTGAGGCTCTGTTTACTTTTTTCATTGCATTTTTTTCCATTTTGCTCAGATTGGGGATTTTATATTCTGTCTTACAGTTTACTGATTCTTTCCTCTTTTCCACTGGCTGCTGAACCCATCTTTTGAGTTTGTTTGTTTTTTTTTAATTTCAGTTTTTATATTTTTCAGTTCTGAGATTCCCATTTGGTCATCTTCTGTTTCTTTGCTGAGACTTCTTTTTCCCCCATTTGTTCCAAGCGTGTTTGTAGTTGCTTGATGATGGCTGCACTGAAATGTTGGTTAGGTTATAATACCTGTGTTATCTCTGTGGTGGTGTCTGCTGATAGTCCTTTGGCTCTACGGAAGGGTGTGCGCTCATTGACGCCACTCCGTTGTTGACATCTCCATCACCTGGTCCAGGATATGTGAGGCAAAAAGAAAATCTAAGGATCTCGCTGCTGTGTTGTTCTGCAGATCCTACAGTACCTAGCCAGTCTGGCTCTTCTTTACCTTTTAGTTTTCTGTATAGTGTCCAGGATGTTTAACTGTACTTAGCAGGAGGAATTAATTTCTTTCTTAATTTTTTTAAATAACAGATACCTATCTGTATTGTTTAGTTTATACTATGATGGTGCTACTGCAGGGCCAGATTCAGAAAATTCAACTGCTCCTCCTTCTGCCTTCAGGGGGAAGAAAACCTGTTTTTTTGTTAAATCAGCACTTGAGGGCCTGCTGATTTTTACACTCTTCTAAAATGTTGAGTCTCTTTTTTTCACTGAGCCAGTTGAATTGTTATCTTGAACTGTTAAGAGCTTCTATTCCTAGATACAAAGATGTCATGAAAACATTCTTATTTATTGCTTAATGTTAGGAAAGCTTATAGATTTGAGTATATGTTTAAAAAATGAAGAAGAAGAAACATTGGTGACCCATACAGTTAGGGCAATAAGTGTGACTCATGCATTTTTATCTGTAAGGGTGATATGGTTTTTTTAACTGAGAATATGTGCTCAGTTCTAAGTTACCCTTTTTTCCTTCTCAGCTGGAGTCGAGATGGTCATAAGCTCGTGAGCGCTTCCACTGACAACATAGTGTCCCAGTGGGATGTCCTTTCAGGCGACTGCGACCAGAGGTTTCGATTTCCTTCACCCATCTTAAAAGTCCAGTATCATCCGCGAGATCAGTATGTTTTCTCTGAGCTTTTCTTTCATGGGGTGGGTCTCATTCTGTTTAAATTATCTCTAAGCTCATGATAATTTCAGTTTAAAGTTTCAGGAGGCAAAAGCACACATCTCTTCAAACCTCTTCTACATGAATTAATTTTTCTGTCTGGGATGGTTCTGAACAGATTTTAAAGATACTGTTGTAGTAGTTTACAATTAAAAACTGGCCTATAATAAATAAAACTTTGAAACGGGCAAAGGTAGAAAAAGTATAATAACTGTTCTTGACCTGGGGCTTTCCCCCAATTTGAATTTCCTTAGTACTGGAAACAGTTCATTATGAAAACTACATTTAAGGAACTTCCCTGGAAATCCAGTGGCCAGTCCTGTGCCCTCCCAGTGCCAGGGCTCTTGGATTCGGGGAGCTGGATCCCACATGCAGCAGCTAAGACCCAGCACAGCCAAATAAATAAAATATTTTTAAAAACTATATTTATGTAGAGTTGCCCACCATTCAGTTACTTCGATATAACTATTTTCATTTCTCTAGGTTCTCTTTTAGTTCTCATTAGGTTTAAACGCTTATTATATAGTATTTCATAGCTCACAAAGCACTTATTAGCTCACAAAGCATTTGTCTCTCTTAGGTATACACAAATATGTATTTTTACATAGTTTAACTGATGTTTGCTTTTTCATTTTCATACATATTTTACCAGTTTGCTACATCTTCATATTTATTTTTAATGATTACATTTTGTTTTGTCAAGGTAGGATCCCATAACTTTACTCAGCTGTTTCCCTATTATTAGAAATTCAGAGTTTAGTCTTTTTCAACTATTTTAAATACCCTTGGGCTGGATAGGTTGATGAGGGTAGTAGATAGGAATTAGAGGAAAAGGGCAGAGAGTCAGCTTTCTGATACCATAGCAACTGCCAATGTACTATTCATATTTTTAAACAGGAACAAGGTTCTCGTGTGTCCCATGAAATCTGCTCCTGTCATGTTGACCCTTTCAGATTCCAAACATGTCGTTCTGCCTGTAGATGATGACTCCGATTTGAACGTGGTTGCATCTTTTGATAGGCGAGGAGAATATATCTATACAGGAAATGCAAAAGGCAAGGTAAGCCTGGAAGCTTAGGAGCTGGTGAAATAAGTAAGCATCAGTCATCCTGTGTGTTGGCTCATTTTACGTTTACTTGTTCTCTTTTCTTTGAAATTTCTTTTATCCCTGGACTGAGTGTGCTTCCTGCCTGTGGCAAATACAGCCTGTTCTCCCGTGCCTTAATAATTTCTATTGTTTGGATTGAGAGTGGTCAGAGAGAATGGATCTACAAGAGGATGGAGGGCCTTTACTGGATGCTAGTAATAGAGGGCCATTACTAAAGTATAAAAGTCAAATATTGTTAATGGAATATTGCTAACAAATGGCTGATATCTTGGTCTAAAAATATTGTATAATTTAGGCCACTTTAATCTATTGTTTTGTGTAGTAAAAAGTTAGGTTAAAAAAAAAGGTTAAGTAAGTTTTAGGATCCTTCTCAAACTTTTTAGAATTTGAGTTCTGTTGCATTTTGATTTTTTTTTTTTTTCTTTTTGACTGGATCATGTGGGTTAGTATGGCTACTTAAGAGAGTGGCAGTGTTTTGGGTAAAATGCACTTACAGTTTATTGTCTTAACCATTCATAAGTGTACAGCTCAGTAGTATAAAGTACATCGATATTGTGCAGTCGTCACCATCATTTATCTCCAGAGCTCTTTTCATCTCGAACTTACCTTGTACTTATTAAATGACTTGCTATTCCTTACTCCCTTTCAGCCCCTGGAAACCATCATTCTACTTTCTATTTATATGAATTTGGAAGTCATCCGGTATTTTGTGTGTGTGACTGGGGCTTATTTCACTTAGCATAATGTCCTTAAAGGTTCATTCATGTTGTAGCATATGTCGTCAAAATTTCTTTCCTTTTCAAATCCAAATAATATTCCATTGTATGTATATGTCACATTCTGTTTATCTGTTGATGGATACTTGGGTTGCTTCCACTTTCTCTTGTGGATAATGTTAAACACCATCTTTTAAGGATGGGTTAAGATGTTGTCTTTAATTGAAGAGGTAAAAGCAAGTTGAATAGAGATACTTAGGTTTTCACGCAGTCTTTGCCCAGTTTTAAAAACAAGCCATATCTAATTACTGTAAATTATCAGAATATTTACTTACTTTTTTCTCTGTTAAACTTTAGATTTTGGTCCTAAAAACCGATTCTCAGGATCTTGTTGCTTCCTTCAGAGTAACAACTGGAACAAGCAATACAACAGCCATTAAGTCAATAGAGTTTGCCCGGAAGGGGAGGTAAGTAAGACCTGTCTTTTTAGAGACAATTTTAAAAGTGAGTAGAATGCAAAAATACATTGAGATTCATAGTTTTTGTGTATATTATACTTAAATTTCTTAAGAGTTTATTTTAAAAATATTTATAGAAACTGTTACTGCCTGGTTCTTAAGTTTGTAAAATTTACTGCATTGAGGCAGCAGTCACATCTTCCTGGAGGTTCACAGGCAGTTCCTTTAAAGAAAAGATGTCCGAGTGGTCTGTGCATAGGACCAGAATGCCTGGCACATGGTAAGCCCTGGGCAGAGATGAGGTGTTTATTATACTGTAATCAGAATTGGTACCACAGAGTTCACATAGTAACTGAATATGCAGTTTACTTTGGTGAAACTTATTTATCCTCTTACTTTCAGATGTTTTTCTAGTAAGTTTGATTACCCAATTAGAAGTAGATATCAGCAGAAACAAGAAGAAAATAGGTTGTCAGTAAGAGAAGTGACAGTCACTTTAGTTTGTATAGAAATCACCATACACACTTAGAAGACATTCATGTTCAATTTCTCTTGAATTAAGAAAAAGTTACTGAAGTCTGTAAGAAAGTGGTAAAAAAGTTGTATTTTAGACAGATTTCCAACACTTCCAGTGTTAAAAAATGGGGCAGTCCAAATGATATATTCATTAACTCATTAAGAAGAATATATTGTGCTATAACTAAAATAGGCCAGCGAAATGAAGTATTTATATATATTTAACTGTAAGCTTGTACATTTGGGAAACTGGTTTCAATATACACGTTTTGGATTTCAGTCAAATACTGGTGCATATAGGGTTCAGGGTCACACAGGAAGTACTGATATAAAGCATTTTCTCACTTCATGTTACATTTTAGTTTGAAAGGTGACAAGTAGTCTTGTCCAAATAAGTAGTCCATTATTTAGATTTTCACTCATTCTCTTCCTTATTTGTTAGCTGTCTTGTGGTAGTCTTCTTAGTAACTGGTAGTCATGGAAAATGTTAACAGGAACAGATTTCTGACCTGTGTGTTGATATTTTTATCCTTTCTGTAGTTGCTTTTTAATTAACACAGCAGATCGAATCATCAGAGTTTATGATGGTAGAGAAATCTTAACCTGTGGAAGAGATGGAGAGCCTGAACCCATGCAGAAACTGCAGGATTTGGTGAATAGGTATGTGTCATAGCCTGGATGAATGTGTGCTCGCTCATTGCCTGGGCTCAGGTTCCGGTTCTCCTTGGGTGCTTTCTTTGCCCTTAGGACCCCATGGAAGAAGTGTTGTTTCTCTGGGGATGGGGAGTACATAGTGGCAGGGTCCGCCCGGCAGCACGCCCTGTACATCTGGGAGAAGAGCATCGGCAACCTGGTGAAGATCCTCCACGGGACCCGAGGAGAGCTGCTCCTGGACGTAGCTGTAAGTAGGGGCAGGGGTTGCTGCTGCTGCTGACGTAACAGAGAATCTTGGATTCATTCTTAGAACTGACTTTTCTTTGCTTCATTAAAATGTAGTGGCATCCTGTGCGACCCATCATAGCGTCCATTTCTAGTGGAGTCGTATCTATCTGGGCACAAAATCAAGTAGTAAGTATTTTTCTGGTTTAACTGCTTTGAAACTAGATACTCTCTATATCAGTGGGCCTTGCAAATAGTAAGACAAAAGTTACTTTATTTACTTTCTTTTCCATAGGATTTTTCTAACCTGATTAAATAGCTCCATGCATCTAGTTTTGCTTTAACAGGAGGGTCTTGGTCCAAAGCCAGTTTACTAGCTCTGTTTTCACGGAGAAAGTCTAGGGTACTTCCTGGTATATTTTTCTGTTGCTTATCTGAGATAGAGCTTTCTTGTGCTTTTCCTATGTTCAGCTCAGTTAGATTCTGTTTTTATTAAAAAACAGTTATTATAAAACCAGTTAGATCTGGTTTTATTTTGAAAATTTTAATTATATTTTTAATCCGTGTACTCGTAAGAAGACTTAACATTTTACCTCAGAATTACATCTTAAAAAGATTAAGAACGTCCTTGGTGGTCCAGTGATTAAGAATCCACCTGCTAATGCAGGGGCCACCGGTTCGATCCCTGGTCTGGGAAGATCCCGTATGCTGTGGGACAGCTAAGCCCCTGTGCCACGACTCTGAGCCTGAGCTCTAGAGCCGGCACTCCGCATCAGGAGGAGCCAGGACATTGAGAAGGCCATGCACAGCAGTGAAGAGTAGCCCCCAGTTGCCACAACCAGAGAAAGCCCATGTGCAGCAGTGAGGATCCAGTAGAGCCAAATAAAGAAGTAAAATCATTTTTAAAATCCTTAAAAATGTTTTAAAGAAGACAGTTGTTCATGAAAGAACTACAGTTAATAATATGGCATGTTTAAGATAGGAAATGCCTTAAGATTAGTAAAACCTATAGATACGTAATTTTTATTACCTGCCAAATTTGATCTCAGAATTTTGAGTCTCTCATGCCCAAGCCTTTCAATTATGTCATTAATGTCTAGATTACAGACTGTTGCTTTCTCATATGGTTAAGTAGTATATTTTGTTTGTGGCATAGGAAAACTGGAGTGCATTTGCGCCAGACTTCAAAGAATTGGATGAAAATGTAGAATATGAAGAAAGGGAATCAGAGTTTGATATTGAAGATGAAGATAAGAGTGAGCCTGAACAGACAGGTAATATTTCTCAATTGCAGATAGTATTTCCAAAAGGAAAAATGATTGTTTTAACTCAGTACTCAATCTTAATTTGTGCTGAAAATTCATTTCCGCACTTAGTCTAATTTTTTTTTAAGCTTGCACTTTTAATAGTGCTTTTAGAATCCTTATTTGTAAGGCATTGACTCAGAGCTTATATGGGCATTACTAGGGCTTGAGCAGCTCTCTTAACATTTCGCTTTGTATTTCCTGACTAATGACGATTAAATGAGGATTTGCTTACAGCACCTCGCGAAGCCACCCATACGTGCTAGGTGCTGAACTGCTGTTGGGTATTCTCATTTCTTTGTCAGTAACACAAAGGTAAAGAGCATGGACTCGAGTCAGACTGCCTTGGACAGAATACTTATTCTTTAAATCTGAACTTCCTTATCTGTAAAAACTGTGCCTTTTAGGGTTGTGGGGTAGAGGGCTCACAATAGTGTCTAGGTCGTAATGAGCATTCAGATATTCTCTTCTAATAGATCGTGATCATTGTTATTTTCATCTCTTGGCTTCTGAACTTCTAAATAGGAAACACCTTGAGAATAAATATTTCACTTTAGAGTCCCCTAGTGTATAAGCACAGGGCTTTGCATCCTGGCGGGGGTTTGTGTATATGAATGCGTGATGTGCCCCTTTGACACTGTCACTGACTGCTGGGCTTCTTGATGGTGCCAGGAATCAAGGAATTGGGATTGAGGTTAGTTCTCTCCAGCCTGAAGGTGCTGGTCCTCACTTCAGTGACATTAGATAACGTGTATGCCTCAGGTGTCTTAGGAAGGCTGTCAGGACCATGGGATATTTTGGGTTGTATTGGTGTGATTGGATTGTGTTGCATGGAAAGCTTCCCAGACTTCTGCATAAGTTGTTTCTTCCTCCCATCTCCTGGGCACATTGCACATGCCTTTATTGTAGCACTCACTTTGTGGAACCGAAATTATCCATTTCTGTCTGTCTCCCCAGTTAGATTTCTGGGGCTTTTACAAAAAAACTGTTCCCAACTTTCTGGGGGCAGTGCTGTATTCCCAGTGTCTAGCATATGGTGGAAGTTCAGCACATATTTGCTAAACGACTAACTTAAATGCCTGATTTTCCTCCTTTGTTTCTCCTGGATTTCAGTTTATGAAAATCGTAAGCAGCATGTAAAAAAGTTTTCTGCTTCTCACAGCTCTACTGTGCTTCTGCCCTGCAGGGGCTGACGCTGCGGAGGACGAGGAAGTGGATGTCACCAGTGTGGACCCCATCGCAGCCTTCTGCAGCAGGTGAGCCGCCGTGGAGGCCAGGCCTCAGGGTGCGCCTGCTCCTCAGTCTCTGGTTGTGCTGCTCAGCCCCCACTGTCCTTCAGTCCCGTCTGCCTTTAGGCTCAGAGTTAACGCCTTTGATGTGCAAGAAGTCCCTTCCGTTCTCCCTTGATAGAAGATCTTAAGGAAGTGAAGTAATTAATTTTATGCCGTTTATTTTTACTACTGATTGAATCATATTGTTTGATTTTCTTTTATCCATCTTGGCTTTCATGAAATTTTAGGTCCATACCTGTTGCTTATGGTTAGATGATTTTGCCCTAGAGGAAGGGTTCATGGTTTAAGCAACTTTCTCCTCTTTTTTCCTATCCCTTTTCTGATCCTGTTCCAAATAGTGATGAAGAACTGGAAGATTCAAAGGCTCTATTATATTTACCCATTGCCCCTGAGGTAGAAGACCCAGAAGAAAATCCTTATGGCCCCCCACCGGATGCAGTCCAAACCTCCTTGATGGACGAAGGGGCTAGTTCAGAGAAGAAGAGGCAGTCTTCAGCAGATGGGTCCCAGCCACCTAAGAAGAAACCCAAAACCACCAATATTGAACTGCAAGGAGTACCAAATGATGGTAAGGGCTGCATTTCCTCTCTTCCACCTGATTGACCTCCTCTCCAGCACAGCCTGGTAAATTTCCTTTCTGGGTGATATTCCCTTAAAGGAATTTTTCCCTGAGTCTTTTTTGTAGTGTTTTACAACTTTGTAACAATTTTATTTGCTTTCGCTTCTCTTTTAAAATGGGGAGATTCTGCCCTCAGTACTTTTCCTAAGATAACAGGCTTTAAGTCGTCTGACATCTGGATCAGTTTGTTTAAATATCAGTCTTCCTCTGCCTCTCCTCCCAAATTCTCATTAGGTGGTAAAGTATCAATACTGGTCAGACCTGGACAGTCTTAATTCTAGAAGCCTTTTTAATCACATGGTAGAGTCTGGATTCTTACCCTGCTCTACTGAGTTCCAAAGCCCATTCACTTTCTGCTTTCATGTGCTAGTGTGAACATGTGCATTCCTGTTCTGACTGTGTGACAAAGTGTCAGTGGGCCTTTGATCTCCCTTTTCTGTTTAGAGCTGCTATAGCTTGGTGTGAACCACATAGGCTATGTGTGCCTTTTGGCCAAGCAACTGTTTCTCATGTAATGGCTGCTCTTTTGTAGTATTATAATTGATAAACAAAACAAACTTTTCTTCTTGTGTTAGTGGACTTGGGACACAGGAGCAAAACTCTTTGCTTGTGGGTAGGCAGCACACGTGCTCGGTTGGAGTGACGTGTGGGTTCCTTTCCATGTCTATCTGTCCTTTTACAGAAGTCCATCCACTACTGGGTGTGAAGGGGGATGGCAAATCCAAGAAGAAGCAAGCAGGCCGGCCTAAAGGATCAAAAGGTAAAGAGAAAGATTCTCCATTTAAACCGAAACTCTACAAAGGGGACAGAGGTTTACCTCTGGAAGGATCAGCGAAGGGTAAAGTGCAGGCGGAGCTCAGCCAGCCCTTGACAGGTAAGGACACATTGGGAGCACTGTCTGGCTTTCTTCGTGGCCTTGCTTTGTACAGCCCCTGACTCCGTTTAACTGCAACATTTTTTCCTTCCTTCCCTCCTTTTCCCCAGTGGCAGATAATTCTGAGTTTTAAGCTGCTGCCAAGGGCAGCTCAACCAGATTTGGCTTCATTCAGTGGCTGTTAACCTTGGGTCCATAACTAGGTTTCAGGCATCTGCATTCCCTTGATCTTCTTTCTCCCTGTCAAAAATTCTTTTTAACAGCATTAACTACCTGCTACACTTGAATAATTTCTAAATGTTGATGCCTGGTCTAGCTCTCTCTTATATCCCAAAGTCGTGCTGTGCCTAACTACTTCCCAGACATCTTCCCTCCTTTTCCCCAGAGGCAGAAGATCTTTGAGTTTTAAGCTGCTGCCAAGGGCAGGCTAAATCAGATTTGGCTTAATTTAGTGGCTCTTAACCTTGGGTCTGCAGCTATATTTCAGGGGCTCTCCATTCCCTTGATCTTATGTGCAAAATATTGTGTGAATATTTTTATGGTGGAGATGCTTGTACATTTCACAGGATTCCTTTAGGAATCCATGACCCCAAAAAGGGTAGGAACCCCTGGTTTAATTAATATTTTCATCTGTGTTTGCTCCTAAGTTTTTTGTTTTGTTTTGTCTCAAGTGAAAGATCCAGGCAGATAACCAGAAAAATGAGCTGCTTTATATAGCCCCTGACTGTTTAACTGTATCATCTTTTTTCTCTCTCTTCAAATTATTCAAATTCCAGAGGTGGTGTTTTTCTCTCTCAGTATTCTAGAAACAATGATGGAGTTGTTAGTAGTACTCTCATGTTAAGGAAGAAGATGAGGTTTAAAAAAAAAAAAACAGATTATCCAAAAGACAAACTTCTAGCTTCTTAATACCTAAGCTTCTTGATACTTACTGAGTTTTCTCACTTTCATAGGTTTGAGGGATTGTTATTGGAGGGTGGAGAACAGTTTCAGTTTCCGATCAAATACTTATGAATCTAAGCTAAAGGGTATTTTGTTTGGAAAACAGTAATCAACTTAGGATTTAATTCTACTCAAACACTGTTAGGTTTTGGAAACTTTTTTTTTTAGGCATTGCTTTAGTTGACACAGTATTCTCAGTTTTCTGTGGCTAGGTCTGTTAATTCAGAGGCAGGACTAACAATATATCAGTGGTTATATTTGAGGGGATTTTCCCACCATATTAAAAATTTTAATTGTGTTAATCCAAATGTGATGATATGTACTAGAATGCAAACCAGAATTCTTTAAGCCAGTTTATCATTGTGAACATGAATTCTCTTCTACAGAGAAGCTGAAACAGACTCAGTGACTCATCATTTTGAGTATCTCCCCTCAAATTCACTAGATTTTCACAGTCCTACACCGTCCCACTAGGGCACTAGCATTTTTCCCCCAACAACAGTATTTATGGTACTCCACTGATTTATCACCTCCACATTCAGTTCATTTGGGGCCATGCTTATATATTTTAAACAATAGCCGAGAACAAGTTATATGGGTATCGCTAACAAAGATTGCAGGTCAGTAATTGACTAATGTAAATAAAAATGATCCTTCCATAACCCATTTTTTGCATAAGCTGATGCTACTACAGAAGAAACTATTGAAAGTTTAAATCAATTTCTCTGGCCCCAAAAGCTAAATTGCTTCAGGATGATTTAAAATGTTGGCAAACATGTTGAATTAATTGAAATACTCTGACATAGTTTCCCAGCATCTTCAGAATCTGTATGTAATTAACCATTTGCTCTTTAGTACTAAGTATATGATAAGTAAACTATTTAAAGTTTTTAAAAATCAGATTTTTCTTATGGTCATTAATAGTAACTAAATATTTTTGGCATTTTCCAACTTGGGCTTTTGTCAAAGGTCCCATGAAGTACTCTATGTTTTATAGCTCAGCGTATAAGAGCAGTGGTGTTTTTCAGCTATGCTTCAAAAATATCTAAATAACACTGAAAATCAGAATGTTGCAAAGTTTATTTAGCCCTAAATGCTAAAATACTTCATTGAATACTAAAAATACCGCATTGAAATTTTGAGGCAGGTGTAAAATACTTAGTGTTTGCACATGTCAGCATTTCAGAGCTCCTTCCAGCAAGAGTGGTTATCATTATCAAGGGCCTGGTAGGAGTTTATTCCCATTCAGCTGACAAGGTTAAAAAAGGGTTAAAACCTCGTTAAAGGCTAAAACTTGTGTCTTGAAATAGCAGGGTGCTTCAGACTGGATTTTTATTTTCTACATTATTGTTATTAGGCACTTCAATTGGTCAGCCTTAAATAGAGGCAGCTATTTTAATGACTTCATCCTTTAAAAGGACTAGGGGAGACTTGTCCATAACAAGGCCAGAGTGAGGACGTGCTTTCTTATAACACAGACAAAAGAACTGCCTAGATTACTGCAAACATTTTACCAACTTCTCACGATCATACTGTTTGGGGTTCTCAAGGAAAGAATGCTGAAGTGGTTTGCCATTCCCTTCTCCAGTGGACCAGGTTTTGTCAGAACTCTCCACCCTGACCCATCCGTCTTGGGTGGCTCATAGCTTTACTGAGTTACACAAGGCTGTGGTCCATGTGATCATTTTGGTTATTCATTCTGTGGTGGTTTTCATTCTGTGGGCCATGGTATTAAAGTTCTTATTTTTTCTGTCTGCCCTCTGATGAATGAGGATAAGAGACTTGTGCAGGATTCCTGATGGGAGAGACTGACTGTGGGGAAAACTGGGTCTTGCTCTGGTGGGCACTTGAGAGTGAAAAAACTGGCTTTTAAAACTCAGCTTTCAAAAAACTAAGATCATGGCATCTGATGCTATCACTTCATGGCAAACAGATGGGGAAACAATGGAAACAGTGACAGACTTTATTTTCTTGGGCTCCAAAATCACTGCAGACAGTGAATGCAACCATGAAATTAAAAGACTCTTGCTCCTTGGAAGAAAAACTGTGACAAACCTAGGCAGTATATTAAAAAGCAGAGACATCACTTTGCAGACAAAAGTCTATGTAGTCAAAGCTATGGTTTTTCCAGTAGTCACATACAGATTTGAACCATAAAGAAGGCTGAATGCCAAAGAATTGATGCTTTCAAACTCTGGTGCTGGAGAAGACTCTAGAGAGTCCCTTGGACTGCAAGGAGATCAAACCAGTCAATGCTAAAGGAAATCAGTCCTGAATATTCATTGGAAGGACTGATGCTGAAGCTCCAATACTTTTGCCACCTGGTATGAAGAGCCGACTGATTGGAAAAGATCCTGATGCTGGGAACAATTGAGGGCAAGAGAAAAAGGGGACGACAGGATGCGATGGTTGGGTGGCATCATCGACTCAATGGACAAGAGCAAACTCTGGGAGATAGTAAAGAACAAGGAAGCCTGGCATGCTGCAGTCCGTGGGGTTGTAAAGAGTCAGACAGGACTGAGCAACTGAAGAACAACATGATTGTGTACATTGCATACTTGCTTGAATAATCTATACTTCCTTCTTCCCATCTTCTCTTGCCTTGGTTCCTTGGCTTTTTCCTATATCGAAATCTCCGAAATGGCCAGATAAAATCCCAGAGTATGCTGAGGAACAGGATCATTAAAAAGCCTCAAAGGGGCGTTGTGGTTTAGTGCCAGCCCTTCCTTAGAGGGCCTTAGCCACTAGCTGCCGTGTGGATCTTTGTGAAAACAGTGACTCTGGGGGAGAGTGCTGACATTGAGTATCATAGTGGGCCATCAGAGGTCTCAGTTTCAAGACAACCTATTGTATCTTTTGTGTGGATTTCGTTGGGTGGGGCTTCATCCAGTACCATTTTGGAGGGCTCAGAGGCTGGCTGACACATGCTGCTGATTTTCGCCGGGCTCCTCAGGGCCTTTGAGGTAATAAAAACTCACATCTCACATTCTTTCACACCTTGGAGGTTTTCATTGAAGAAGCAGCATGCTGTCATTGTGGATTTTCTACCAGATATTAAGAAATGAATCCTGATCCTCAGTGGCTGAGGCGGAACCATCCTCAAAGATCAGTTCAGTCTGATGGGTGTACAGTATTTGCATATTCAGTGCTTTGTGGACTTTCCTTCCCCACAAATGCCCTAGTTTTGCATTAGAGCCAAATTGTTTGAAGGCAGGATTATAAGTGTAGGCTACTGCTCATGTTGGATAAATGCCAGCTGTTTGTTACTATGTATGATTGATCAGTTAACTGAAGAAACCGTCCAGTGAGCCCTGATTAGTCCTGACAAAGCTGCTGTAGTCTGTTGCATGTTGTAACAGGAGATTATGCATTTCAGGGGACACTTGGAAGACTAATAGAGCGCCAGTAGAAGTAACTAGCCATCTGGAATCTAGGGCTCGAAAATTCTTCGCTGTCAAACAGCTCATCAGTGTTGGATAGGACCAGTGGACCCACTCCATGACAACACGCCTTCTGTGGTAGGGCCCGTCAGTGAAGCTTGAGGGAAACCCTGAACTGGGGACTCACGGAAAGTCTGTACCAACATTGCTCCATCTGTCAGATTTCCTCCTAGCTACCTTACACTCTCCAGCAGACAGTCTTCAGGATCAAAAGTTGAGATGTGAGCAGAACCACCAGAGTCCCTGTTGCCCCGTGACCACTCGGTCTGCCCAAGAAGTCGGGCTCCTTGGCAGTGAGCACCATCAGCAGTGGTGGTGACAGAGCTGTGGTCTGTCATGCACGGGGTCTAAAGGCCTTGTGGGACGGCGGGCCTGAAGGGCGTGGGATGGTGCTTGCTCTCGAGGGCGGCAGAGGCCAGGCTGAGTTGGAGGGTCACCTCTGAGGCCCCCAGGCCCCCTCAGGTTCCCCTGCCTGTGGTGCACCGCCGGCTCCTGGTTCTGGCCCCACAGCCTGGGTCTCTGAACCATATCCTGGTCATTTAGTACGTCTGATGGTTTTAAATGGTTGGGAGGGGCTTTCCCCCAGCCCTTTTCCTTTATAGACTTGATCAGTCTCTCAAAGACTAATCTATGAATTCCTGCTAGGATCAGATTTTTAGATGGCTAGTTGGGTATTCTTTCTGTGTGGTCTTATTATCTGACTAAGGTAATGCTTGAAAATTAATATCCAGTGTTTTCTAGGCTACCCTGGCTTGGCTGCTTTGGGGAGGTACCAATAGCCGCTGTTCACTATGAGCTGAATTTTTGTTAATTTTTTATCGCTCGAGATTTCTGTTATGTTGCAGCTAAATAACACTTGGGGCAAATTTTAATTCACCTGGAGGTCTGCTTTTTTGCTGTTCTGTGTGTCTTACTTTCCTCATAGATGTGCTGCTCTACGTTTGTTGCCTGATGCCTCAACAAGCTTTGTTTTTGGTCTGTTCACAGGAAAGAGGGCAATGAGAAAAAATATTAACTGACCTCAGATAAGCAGTATAATGTAGCTTATTGATCATCTTGAGTGCCCATTATAAAATACACACCACTTTTTCCTCTCATGATTTAGGCTTAAAATGTCAATGTTGTGTCTTGTTTTTAAACTTAAAATTAGATTGGTCAGAGTACCTGTGGGAATGATCAGGAAAGCTAACCTTAAGGTATTTTAAGTCCTGTGGAGTAGATTCTTTTATTTCAGATTATTTAAAAAATCAAGAGGTTAATCATTACATTTTATGTTGAAAGATCCGAAAAGCTTAAATATACTTCTGGGGCTTCCCAGGTGGCTCAATGATAACAATCAGCTTGCCAGTGCAGAAGACATGGGTTCGATCCCAGATGAGGAAAGGTCCCTTGGAGAGGGAAATGGCGGCCCACTCCGGTATTCCTGCCTGGAGATATTTTTAACACGCGGCACCCAGGAGAGGTTTAGTCTGTTCTCAGGCAAAGTGGAATTTATTTTTAATGCCAGTTTTCATATGTGCTTGCACTTTAAAAATCAGGTTAAAAGCAAATTATAAGTGGGTACTCTTTCTTTATTTTTATTTTTTTAATAGCTTGGGCAATCATTTTAAACCATTTTCCCTTCAAGTAGCATGTTCTGCATTCCAGATGACACTGGGAGGACTTTCTTCACCTTGTTCTCTTTTTCCACTTCTTAGTTAATATTTCACAGCAGCCCATTTAAGGATGTCCTTCAGAGATTGAACAGCTTCTGTGGAGTGACCAGGGAAGTGTTCATTTCACTATTTAGGGTTTTATTTATTGATCAGTTGTTGGTGCACAGAAATGCCAGCAGTGGTTTTCATTAACATTTCACCATATTCTGCATTCTGAGGAGCTGAGAGTGTCACTTAAGGAACAGGGGTATTTGAAAAAGGATGTTTTGCTCATCGTTAATCATTTACTGGTGAATTAGTCTAATGTATGAGAGATTGAAAGATGCAGTACCCTAGAATTTACTTTCCTTTGCTTACTTCTCTTTTTGAAATATGAAGCATTATTAACACCTTGGAGAATGGTTAGCAGCTTGAAATGTGTAGAAGTCTGATTATTTTGCCCTTTTCTCTCCCTCTGGGGGCAACGCTGAGAAAAGTCCTGGGGGCGCAGTTTGGGATTTGAATTATTTGTTGCTTCAGTAAAGGGTAATTGGGAGTTGGAGTTGGTTTTAACTTAAAGTGGAGGGGTGGGGAGTTCTTAGCTCATGTTTGTTTGGAATGCATCTTCTAGCATCCATCAGTATTTCTGTTCTTGAAAGTAACTGGTCTAAGTTGGTACTAAAGAAATCTCTTTATTTCTAATCTCTTTAGCAGGAGGAGCAATCTCAGAACTGTTATGAAGACCCTTGAAGTTCTTCATTCTTCCCTACTTTGCCATCATGTGGCCTCTGGACACTGTGGTCAGTCATCTGAGATTGACTTTAATTTAAAACAAAGGCCTGTGTCTTCTGCCCAGGAGGTGGAAGGAGTGAATTTTATGTTTGAATGAAGAAGTGAATTATGGAAGAAGAGTATATGTCCCTTCCCTTTCAAGCCTACGTCCAAATAGACTCTCAGGAATGAGGATTTGTGGAGACATCGCGCGGGAGTTGGGCTCCTGAAGTCCGAGTGCCCGTTCTGTTGCTGGAGGCGGCTGCCGGTCTGTCTGCCCTGTGCCTGGCGTCGTCGCGGCTTCTCACGCCCTCTCTCCTGCTTGCCTTCGCTCCTCAGCGCATGTCCTTGAGTGACTTATTTTTACCTGAAATTTTGCTGCCTGTATCCTAGAAAAAAAACTTCTGTTTGCACATTCTCTCTTCCATTTTTAAAATTACCTACTCAGCAGATACCTCCTATATTTCCATATTCTGTTACAAAGGATGGGCAGAAAAGAAGGTGCTTGAAAGATTTCAGATTTTCTGAGAGAGAGATAAGAAAGGACCCCTCTTTTTAACATCCTGTAACATTTTTCTCAAGAAGCTGGGCTGTGAGAGGGTCAGGGTTTTTCTTGGTTTTCTTTTCATTGCATGTTTCTCTGCAGTTCATTCAATCATGGTTTATGAAGATAGCTAGTTTCATTTGTGTCCAGCAAAGAATCAGTAGTAGTTTATATTGCTTTACCTATACTGGTTTCCAGAGACAAAAACAAGCCGGGGTGTCTCTCAACAAGCTTATTTTATACTGGGGTGGGGGAATCTATGCAAGGACTAAAATAAAACCGTCCATAATCAAAGCAGCAAAAACACAAATAAAAAATCAAGGAACTTTTTTTTTTAATCAGTGCTTGTGGACATCTGTCCTTCCCATTAGTCGTCATGTTTCCCCTCCTTATATCCATGCTCCTTTTCCTTCCTTCATGTTTCCAGTCACTTCCTTTCTGTGAAAGGTTGCTTAGCTTTTAAAATTTTTTTAATTTTTCCTTCTGCTGTTCTTTGTATAAAAAGTAGCAAATTGGATGGATGTGTCCACCAGGTGTTTGAAATTCTCTGAAAACCCAGAGTGAAGAAACCAGGTGTGGAGAAGGTTGTCTAGCTCCTCTGAGTAGAGCTTTGAGCTGACTGGAAGTGCTCAATCTGGATCATCATTTTCATGGTATTTTCAAAGGAGAGTTAAACACTGCTTATTGGGAAATCTCTGTTGGTTGGTGGTTGCTTCAGTAGGTAGCCAAACAAGTTGATTGCTTTTTGGATTTTAGCATAGCAGTCAGAGTAGAGCACATCAGCAAGAGCCTCTTCCATTCTGTCTCTAGAACCAAAATGTTCAGTAGTTGAAGAGCTCTCCCTGAACCAGTGGCCAAATGTCTATATTTTTAGATGCCACTGCCTTTTCCTCAGATGCTCCTTTTGTGAATTTCATTTCCTATTTCATATCAGACCAGTGGTTGAGATTGGTAGGTGGGTCACTAGGCATGTTTTTGTTTTGCAGACATTATTTCCATTTTGTTTCTCACTGTACTGTACACTGCAGCAGTATGCAAACTGTGATACAGGTGGCCTCTGCCTTATTTCTGCAAAGTAGCTGGGTGTCTTCTGCCTGAGCATTTGGATGTTCAGGCTCTGTCCGCCTCCTAAACTGGCTTCTGAGAAAAATCATCAGCCCTGCCAGAGCGTCTGGTAGCAGCTCCTAGTAATTATTTATGCTTCTGGAATTGTTTTCGGCTCCTGAAACCTTGTGTCCGTTTCAGTTTGATTCTCTAGATTTGTACAATATATGCATATTCTTTTTTCCCTTCTGTCACCTCCCATCCCCTCAGCGTTTTGTAATGTCCTGTAGTTTTGTATGAGAGGAGACTTAGCCTCGGGTACTTCTTGCTGAAGCTTTAATGCTTTGTAAATAAAATCGGATGTTTATTAAAGAACAGGTGTAGGTGTTTGCTTGTAGATAACTGATCACTTCTGAAAGTCACCAGCCTCTTCACTCTGTGCAACAGAAAATACAGCTTACTTGGTTGATGTTATTAATAGATCTCTATATGGAAATACAGAACTGGAAGGGCTGAGAGGCGGCCTGGTAGTCTAGATAATCTGCCTCTGGACAATATTATATTAAATAAGCAAAGTACGTTAGTGTTAGATCATTTAGGAGTGACCTGTCTTCAGATTCTTTTGCGCAGTAAGTGTGTGACTACACTACAGAGGCCATAGTGCTAGGAGACATTCCAGAGCTTACAAAAAACGCTTGTAAGGAACCTCCTGCCTTCCAGGGATCTTTCTTAAAGTAACTGCAGATAAATTCCTCTTCATTAGCACCTTTTCTGCCTAAATTAAACAGCTTTGAAATCCACAGACTACTTACTGTCTCCTAAAGAATAAGAATATGTAAGTCTTTAATTTTAATCATCTCTAAATCTGAGTGTCTAATTACGAATCTTCCCTGTTATGTGACTGAGAATCTTTTTGACATCACAGCTGTTTCCTAGCAACCTTGACCCAAGTGAATTATGAGCTCCTTCCCTGTTTTGTGGGGTGGATGGACTAGACTGAGAGGCAGGGGGATTTAAGGATCTTCTCCCCCAGAATGTATCTTCTAGTACCCTTGGGAAGGAAGAGTGCCTGCAAGTGAGAAACTGCATTTAATATTGCCTGTCTTGCTACGCATTGATTCTAGAAGACCTCGTGGCCCTTGCCTTCATGAATTTTCATTTCTCTTTAACATTCCTTACACATGAAGAGTGTTTCACACTTTACAAAGTGTTTTCATGTGCAGTTTATCATTTGATGTTCAAAGTGACCTTCCTGAAATAGACAAGAAGTTCTTAATTTACAAAGGAGGAAACAAATTCAGGAAGAGGAAGTCACTTGCCTCTTACTCCAGAGTCCTTAATCCTTTTAATAGGTTTAGGAGCATTTAAAGGTGATGATGGCTTAATTCAAATTAATCCTCTCTTTTTTAGAGTCAGTATTTGATTTCTTATTTGGTCAGATTTAACAGGGATTTTGAAATTCCGATCCCATAATTTGGAAAGGGTGAGGAACAGTATAGCCTCAGTGGGCATTGAGGTTATTTGGAAATTCAGCTTCTGAAGCCTTTTTATTTGTCTTCCCAAGAGGTGGATTTAAATTCATTAAAAAGATATGAAAAGAGTGAAGACTTTGGGAAGGTAGTCGTTAGCAAACAGATAGTAAAGCAGCAGTGCTGTGACTTGTCTGCCTGTGGCCTCACCTGTTAGTAAGGACTGGACTTTAATTGTAAGTTTTTTATTGACAATGCATGCATCGTATCTTTTGATTTTGAAAGCTGTCTTACGTCAAAGGAATTGAGTTGTGATGTGGTGGTGGATTTAGCTGGAACACCTCAGGTGTTGGCTGAGGGTAGTGAAGTGCCTGCTAAGACATGAAGACTTCGGCCACTAGTTTCATCCTTGGGAGCCTGGTGTTGGCCTTCTGTCTACCTTTGGTGGTGACTTTACCTAAAACACTGGCCATCCCTGAGAAACTGCAAGAAGCTGTGGGGAAAGTTGTCGTCAATGCCACAACCTGTACTGTCACCTGTGGCCTTGGCTTTAAGGAAGAGACTGTCTGTGAGGTGGGCCCTGATGGAGTGAGAAGGAAGTGTAAATCTCAGCGCCTGGAATGTCTGACCAGCTGGCTCTGCGGAATGCTCCATTTCACCGTTCTCATAGGGAAGGAGTTTAAGCTGAGCTGTCTGAGTCCAGACATCCTGGAGATCGGGCAGGAAGCTTTCCGATTCACCTGGAGACTTGCTCGGGGAATCATCTCAACTGATGATGAAGTCTTCAAACCCTTCCGAGCCAGTTCCTACTTTATAAAATTTCAGTCCATTCAAGAGTATGACTCTGGGACCTATCGGTGTGATGTGCAGCTGTTAAAAAACTTGAGACTTGTCAAGAGGCTCTATTTTGGGCTGAGGGTCCTTCCTCCTCATTTGGTGAACCTGAATTTCCATCAGTCCCTTACTGAGGATCAGAAGTTGGTAGACAAGGGCCTGGAAGTGAGTCTGGACAACTATTCCAGGCTGCAGCACCCACCGTGGAGGAAGAAGGTGACCGTAGCTGTGGGAGTGGGAGTCGCCAGTGGCATGACTGCTGGTGTGTTGGTGAGCACCGCCCTCTGTGGCGGGCTTCGGGTGGCCCACAGCAGTTCCAGCCTTGAGACCTTACAACCGTTGCTGCCAAAGGGCGGGAGGCTCAGGACGCCAGACTAGGTTTTCAGGGGAGTGTTCTGGCTGCCTGCTTGTGGGCTGGCTGAGAGGCAGGCTTCCATTACCAAAGAGCTGAGCGGAGCGTGTGGGGCAGGCAGCATGATGGTGGCTGTGGGCAAGTCTCTGACTGTGTCCGGGGTGGATCTCTCCCGGCTCTTCCCTGCCCACCAGGTGCCTGGGAACCCTGACTGCAGGCATCTCCCTACTCCTGGGACGAGCTGTGTCTTCCACGTTTGCATTAACTTCCTGCCCTTTACAGCTCGTATGCCTCCCAATGTGATCTCCCTTCTGAGCAGTATAATCATGTAGAAGGATATGATAGCTTTTCTAGTGAAAGCAGTTTTTTCCTCTTCAATAAAATAATTCACAATAACTGTATGGAGACCTAACCTTTTCTGGTCTTTAGTGTAAAATTTCTTGTCAGTCGTTCAAGTTGTCCGACCATAGTCAGTCTGGTTGGGTTAAACTCACCAGTTTTTAGAATAGATACCGAACAAACTGCTTTGTTCGTGGCATATAACCATTTGTGGCAGAGCCGAGGGTGATGACTGCAGACTCGAGTGTGTAAGAGACAGTCCCTGAATCTTAGTAAGTCATTTGCCACCCTTACGCCTCCCAGGTGAAGCCTCTGTGCTCAGGGCTAAATTGAATTCCTGGCGAAACATTGGATTTTTCTGCTGGTAGATTTCCCCTGAACGATTTCTCGGCTTGCTTCCTGATCCTATCCTTCTAGCAGCTTCAGTGCCCTGAAGCTTATGTTGCTGAAGAGGTCAGGTGCATTGGTTTCTTAGAGCAGTCAGGGCCCCCTGAGGAAGGACTAGTACCTTCCTTCCGCAACAGGAAATCCAGTCTTAAGAGGTCATTCAGACTGTGTCTGAGATAACTGGCTTGGCTTGTGGAACCATCAGGGAAATGGCTCTTGGGCCACCAACTGAGCTGATTCTATTTGAGAGAATTAGCATTTCTTCCCTTCACTTTGCTGTCAGTACAGACGAAGTAGCAGAAATAAGACTTGGACCGGTGATTATCTTCTCTGGTCATATGTGTGAGTCACCCAGATAAGCTTTTGAAAACTAAGATTCCTGAGTCCCAATCTGAGGATGCTAACTCGTTTATTTTTTTTTTTGCTAACTCAGTTTAAATTATGACCAATGGATCTCTGTTATTTATTCTATTTTAAATAAAAAATTCAAGCCCATAAAAAAGTTGAAAGTGTTGATGGCGCCCCTAGACCCTTTAACTGGATTCACTGACTGCAAACATTCTGCTCCAATTCTCTTGCTCTCTAAATACATGTTGATTTTATATAAAACACTTGAAAGTGAGTCACAGAGTGACCTTTTACCTTTTAATCATTTATGTATCTCTTAATAAGGACATTCACTTGTGTAACTACAGCGACTTCATCACATTAACAATTCCCTAATCTTATGTATAGTTGATACATCATTTCTCCCAACTTCTAAAATTTGGAACTTTTAAAGTTTGATCCAGGGTCAAGTGAAGGTTCACGTATTACATTTGATTATTTCTCAAGTCTTATTTTACAGCAGATCCTCTACATTTTTTTCATGACATTCATATTGAAGAGGTATTTGTCTTGCATACATGTCCTCATGATTATTTCCTCATGATTAAATTCCTGAGGAATGAATCTTAAACATTTTTGACAAGAGTCCAACAAAAATGATACGTACTTACTGCATGACCTCGGGAGGCCCAGTGTCAGGGTGACCCGCTGTTGATGGTGAGCTTGATCATTTGATTAAGGTGGTGATTGCCAGATCTCTGCAGTGGTATACCTGTATATGTTTTCCTTTTGTAATCTGTGGGGTGATGCCTTGTGATTATCTGGTTTCAAAAAAACATTCACAGGTGTTTTGGAATCCATGATCTTTGCCTTACTACATGTTGGGGATTGCAAAATTATGGATTTTTAAACTCATTTTTTTTATCTGTTGCACTGCATTTTTCTCTTAAGTGCTATTGTTTTTATTCTTTAGAGATTTCAATGGATTCTCTTTTTTTTTTTTTCAGTGAATTATATATAACCCATAAGTACTGTTGTCATACTTTTGATGTTCAAATTATCCCCACTTTTGGCCTGGAGTCCCTTCAAGCTCGCTCTTTTGTCCTTTTGGTGTGGTCCCATTTGACTTTGAGCATGCCCTTGGCAACAGCAAGATGCCTCAGATGCGCGCCAAACCGGAATCTCCAAGGGGTTCTGGTTCCTTTAATGTGGGAAGTAGTGATTAGAAACCACGGCATGGGTGCTGGCTGTGCTTATTGCCGCTGGAGGGTCACTGCTTCTGGGCCATTTGTGTGTCCTATGTATATATAAATCATGTGTTCAAAAGCATCTTTGTTTTTCAGAAGTTTTCTAGATAATTCTGGTATATAGCAAAGGTTGAGAACCACTAGCCTACACTCATGCGTGGGAGTCTTTTTAACTATTGCTCTTATTTGGAAAAGACCTTAAAATTTCCACACCCCCTTTCTCCCAGTCTCTATCTCTGATGGGGTGTTACTCAGAAGACCTGGGTTGGTCCTTTTTCTGTGTAACGGAGCAAGCTAACTGACCCTTCGTAGTCCTCATCTTTGAAACGCATGATTGTGAGGATCAAATGAGATACTGCAAGTCAAACTGCTCTAAGCTGTGAAGTTCAGACATGTACAGAGTTGGGGAATGTCACTCATGAAGCCCATCACTTCAGTCCTGGGCACTTTGCTGAACCAGTCAGGAGAGAGTTTGCTCTGCTTTGAAAGAGGACCGTAAAACCTTAATATTACATTGATGAGGGAGGTTAAGGGGTGCAGTGTGTTCCCATTTTACAGATAGAAAGACAGACCCAAGAAGAGCTAAATAGCTTTTCCAGCATTCTGTTGTAAGCCGGTAGTCAAACATGAGGTGGAATATCTTACAGCTCTAGATTTAGAGCATTCTGCATTAGTTTGAGGATGTGAGGGTACTGAACTGGGAAGAGAACAAAACCCAATTACATGCATTAGTGCAACCTCAAACCCAACTTAGTTCTTTGAATTCTATGCATGTGGTCTGCCTCTAAAGTATCAAGGAGATGCTGCCTACGATTTGGGCTCCAGAGTGGCCAGTGCTTCCAGCATCTCTTTGGGTGCAAAGTAGCAGGGGTGAAGCTGTGTGACCTTTCGGGGGCTCACTGTCAGCCTCGGACTCCCTGTGCCCAGCAGGCCAGGGGCAGGCCTCCGCTCACCTTGTTTTCCCTGCTGGAAGCTGTCAAGTGCAGTTAGCACAGAGCCCTACCTGCTTCGCACTGAAAGAACCGAACACTTATACAGCTGCCTGTGTGTCCTGCGTCTCAGGTGTAATAGAAGTTGTGGCAAATGTTGAATGCAGGATGGTGGTGTAGTTGGAAAATGTGACTAGAAATTCATTCATTAGGCTGCTGAGCTGAGGCTGGAGGCACCCACTTCCCAGAAGGGGGTCACTGTCTCTGCAGGGAGACGACTTCCCTTTGGTAACTATTGAGTCAATACAGGTATTTCCTGCTTTTTGAAAGTTCACTTTCCACCACTTCGGAGTTATGAGAAACCTACATTAGTACCTCTTCTCACTAGCTGAAAGATATCTGAAGAGGATTTTCCCTTTTTCAAAAAAAAGGTAATTGCTTCTTTGCTTTACGCCATTTCAGCTTAAGAGTTCATAGGAATATTGACTTGTGAGCAGCAGGAGAACCTGTACCTCAAATGCCTTAAAAAGGCAGGGGAGCTGAGAACAGCATCATTACACGAACACGGTTTACTGCCTGCCCTGTCCGGGAGAGCCAGCAGGCAGGGAGCATGCCTGCTCTGCTCTGCGGAGCCTGCCTTAAGGTCGCTCAGCCTGTTTTCTGCCCTCGCAGCACTGAATGAAGCAGCATGCAGTATGTGCTGTGACCCTTAGAGCTGACTGAGTGGAAGGTTGAAGGTATTGGATAGAGGCCTCTGGTTAGAGAACATGACCAGGAGATACTCTTTAGTCTGAGGATAAAAACACCCACGGCTGGTGGCAGCTGCCTCCCCAGGTTGAGAATCCATCTTTATTTAAGAACTGCCCGCTACCAGAGTCAATAAATAACTACCATTACAAGAAGTGTGAGAGAGACAGGTAATAACAGATCAGTGGGAGCGGGTCCATTTTAACAAAAGCCGAGTTAACAGTGGTCCGATGAAGCCCCAACCCTCGCCCTTGGAGCTTTTCTAAGCTATGCAGACCCTGCAGGGGGTGTGTCGGCTGGAGTCAGGGTCAAAGCAGGGTGGACCCCGTCTGAGGGCATGAGGCTTCCTAGGACTGGGGGAGGCTATCTGACCCATCTTTTTCCCTCTTCATTTTCCTTTTATTGTCCTGCCTTCCCAAAGCCTATACATGCAGCTGGCTCCCGGACACCTCTCCATGGAGCTCTCCGTGAAGTTCCTTAAGTGCCCATCGGACCCCTTGTGCTGCTCCAGGGGCCTCTCCGGCCACCTCGCTCGTCTCCAAGATGAAGCCTGGTCTGACCTGAGCCAGGGAAAGAGGGCGCCACCCCTGTGCCGCAAGCCCAGGCATGAGCACCGTGCTGTCCGTCCATATAGAGGAGCCAGCAGGCGGTCACAGGACGAGCACAGAGTCCTCCAGTGGGGAAGACGCGAGGGGGTGAAACATTCTGGAGTCAGCTTGGGCTCTTGCCCAGAGGAGACCAGACCACTCCTGGGACTGCCAAGAGGCAGTGGCATGTGCTGGGCAGAGAATGCCTGGGGTGTGCCTCCCTCGCAAATGATAGTGACTGCAGTCACTCCCCCGCAGTGCGGACAGGAGTGCCAAGACTTCTGTGCTGAGCACGTTTTGATTCCAAGAATGCCAGTCCTGAAGAGCACTTAGAGTGTCCCCTCCAGTCATCACCTAACCCAGACCCCGAGACACAGCTGTCAGAATTCCTCACAACCCCCTAGGAAAGGTCTCCTTGCAGACGTCTTCTCTGATGACTCTGCTGTCGTTTTATCGAAAAGAGCCCCTGGCCCACGGCCCTCCTGTTCCCTGGCACGGCTGGGCCCTGAGGCTGCGTCTGGAGAGAGCTGTCCAGGCTGAGGTACCCATTGGGGCTGTGGGGCAAAGAGCAGGGCGGAGTCAGGACGGGGGCAGGGGCCCCCCCGGCCGAGCCTGGCGTGCGCGCAGCCGTCTCCCGGGCCCTGGGGCAGGCTCTGCCCTCGGTGCGCAGGCGCTCACTGGCCACTGAGCCTTGGTTGCTGGCCGGGGCTCGGCACGTGACGGGAGGGATCCCGGGTCGCGTCGTGAGCCTCAGCCCACCTCGGCGGAGGTGGTGGCAGGCCGGCCTCGGGCAGAGAGGGACTCAGATGTTGCCCCATCTCGCCTTCCGCCTGCATGCACGCTCCCGTCCGGCCACCGCCCCAAGAGGCCGTTCTGCTTCCCACGCCTGCGCGCCCTCGGGTCACCTGCCCTCTCACGCGGTCTGAGTCGGCGCTCGGCCTGCAGGAACGTCTGTTTTTGTCTTTTCTGAGTCCCCCCAAACGAGTCCTCCCTACACAGGGCTGAGGTGTTCCTGAGGCTGAGTTTTCCTAGTTACTCATAAAAAATCCTTCCTGGGTTTCCCAGAGGGTCGGTCTCCCCCCCAGAACTAAGACTCTCAGTTGTGTCTCTGGCTTCAAGCAAGCCCAGGGCCGCAGCTGCAGCCCCCGTGGCCGGCGTCTGGACACCTGGCCCTCTGCTTCTGCCGCAGCTAAGGCAACGAAGAAAGAGCGAGACCTTGGAAGGAGGTGTCCTCCTTTGAGATTCCCCTTTCTAAGAGCGGGGTACAGGCCACCTCACAGCCATGCAGGACCAGGCTAGGCGCCAGGCCAGATTCGGGTCTCTGCAGTGGCAGGGCGGGCACGGAGCTGAGCCCCCAGCACCGCGTAGGGATGAAGGACAGGGGCAGGGAGGAGGGTCTGATCGGAGGGTCCCAGGGGCAGTGCCCCGGGCTGGGGACAAGGCGGTGGGTGCTGTGGTGGCACAGAGAAGGCATGTGAGCTGACACTGTTAAAAAACTGTAGTGGGTAAACATCAACACAAACCTGCCCAGTAAAATAGAGCAGGGCTTAAAAATGTTAAAAACCATAACAAAATAGAGCTCTGACTGTAAACGACAGAAACCAGGCTGGGGGCCCATCCCCTGCGACGCCTGTCCTGCTGACCCATATGTGAAGGGTCACCTGTCACAACACAGGCTTCGGAATCTCCTGGTCACGCCTCCACTGATGCCTGCATTTGGGGAATCCCTGTCCTTGCTTTGGCCTCTTGAAGCAAGGGTAAGGGGCACAGGGGGGTCCAAGCCAGCACTGCGTGTTGAGGGCCCTGCAGAAGCCGGCTCAGGAGGCAAAGGAAGACGGGATCTCCGGCAGTCTGCACGTGCCGTGGGCTGGAAGCCAGCCATGCCAATCACCCCACCATCACCCACCAGAGCCTCCTGAAGCAGGGTTTTCATAGCCCACTCTGCCCTTCTTCATCACCTTCTTAGCCAGGTCACGGCCGTTCAGCATGGCCCCCTTCCTCGGTAGACGAAGGACCTGGGGCCGGTGGGAGAAGAGAGCCGTTTCCGCCCCAGCCCTGGCGGGCTGTGGGACCGGAGGCAGGCCCTGCTCCTCCCAGTCTCTAGAGCAGGGGCCTGGGCACGCTGAGGTCTAAGCCTCTTCCAGCTCTGATGTGCCGGCACTGGCACCGCACCCCGAGAGCAGGCCAGGGGCCCCATTTACTCGCGCCCTCATCTTCAGGGGAAATGCAGAACAGCACCCAAGGCCGCATGGGGGTCGGCTCGCCCGACGGCCCGGGGCCTTCCTGGGAGCGGGCAGGGCCGCCTTTATCCTCTGGGCTTCTCGGAAGGTGCCTGACTGCAGACGGGATGACCGCTCACGTTCCGCGGGACGAAGCCAGTGGGGCACGACGGCTGTCCTGCCCTGCCCAGACCCTGGACGGACCACGGAGGATGGGTCTTGGTGTGGTGGGGGACCTCCCCAAGACGAGCCCTTTAGTCACCAGCCACCTGTTGTGGCTTCTGTCACTCGAGGTGACAGGTCGGGTTGGCAGTGCTGGCTAAGAGGGAGACGTCACGTAAGGTGTGACTGCGCCTCGGGCCAAGTCTGGTGCAGCGTCCCAGCAGGCCCAGCCCCTTCCCCACCCAGCAGTCAGGAGCACGGCCATCCAGAGCGTCAGGGGCTCAGCTGCCGGCCTGACACCAGGACACGGTTCTCAGCCATCTGGGCGGGTGGTGGGGGCCTCCAGGGAGTCCTCAAGGACAGTGTCAGGGCCCAGCCATGCTGCCCTGCTTTCAGAGGAGAAAGGAGAAGAGTCCCAGGTCTTCAGGTCGGGACTGCTCCTCAGACTGAGCGACGCTGTTGTGGATGCTTTGTCCCACATCAGCCCGTTCCCGTCCAGTGTTTCCGGGCTGAGGATTCTGCCATCTGGGCCAGAGTCCACATGCAGTCCCAGAGTGCCATCTCCGCTGATACACAGATACACGTTTAACCCCCTTCTTCCTGCCTTCCATGCAGGCACCCTAGAGGGCCCAGGCATAGGGTTCAGTATCATCATGGAAGCTACTGCCTGGTGCCTCTCGATTAAAAAAAAATGCTTGCATGGGTTCTATCCTGTGGCAGAATATGATATATCCTACCTCCTACGAAAAGGGCTCTGTATAAGTCAGTGTTTGAAACCAGCCGTTCTCAGGCACAGTGCTGGGCCACCTTGGCATCGGGAAGGGACTGGGGCCAGCCGGTTGTCTGTCAAGGTGGGCGCCCAGCTGTGGCGGGGAGGCAGGGCGCCGAGATCAGAGCTGCAGGTAGCCTAAGAGGACCAGCGCTGCCACGGAGTGGGTGAGGGCGGTGTCCACATGTGGGGCTGGACAGACTGCGGAGTTCTCCACCATCATGCTGGTGCCTGAAACCAACAGGTGGGATGGGCTGAATGGGCTGGGCCTGGGCCGGCTCATCCCTGCCCCACCTTCGAGACAGAATCCAGACCTTCCCAAAGGAGACTCACAGGACTGTTTCAGGACTGGGAGCTACTCTCATCTCTTCTCAGCTGGGTTTTGTAGGACCTTCATTCCCGAGCATGGAGCACACTCAGCCCTCAGGGATGTTTGGGGAGGAGGCAGGCGGCAAGGGCGGGTCAGGGCTACACTGAACGTGGTTCCTGACGCTGCCTTTTGTCTCCCTGGGGACTGGCTGGGCTGGGGCCTGGTTTGGGCTGGGATGATCTCTGCGTCTGGATGGACCCTGCTCCTCCTGGGGGATACGGGGGATACAGCACCTCCATTCCGCACGATGTGAACCTCTGCAGGGACACCGTCGCCTCCTGGCCCTGTGGTCCGAATCTGCACCAGCGCGTGGCCGATGTCCTCGGGAACTGTGATTTCTATCCGGTTCTTGCTGGTGAGGTGCAGCATGGGAGTCGGGTGTAGGTCGTTCTGGTACAGCATCTGTGGGAAGGAGTCAGCCAGCAGGGTTTCCCGATAGCGGGGCTGATCCTTCCCTTCCCTGGCCAAAGGAAAGCCTTGAGGTCCTGCCCCTTCACCCCTCCTGTTGCCCGTTGACCAGGACCAGGCTCTTGAATAAGCTTCTCCCTGGAGCCAGTTTCCTGTTCCCAGCAGCTGAACTGATTTTGCAGGCTCCTCAGACCAGAAGGGCCCGAAACGTCAGCCAGTCTGTCACCGCCCTTGTGAACCCTGCCTTTCCGCAGTCACACCTCTTTCCTCCGTGTAGTCGCTACTGCATGCTCCCCGGAGACTCACTCATGCCTCTCACGGGCCCAGACACTTTGCTTACATCTAACTCAGACATGAGCTGCTAGGAACTGAAGCTCCCTTGTGTTCACGGGGCACACACGAGCTGTCCCCCAGCTTTCACTGCCTGCTCGCCCCTCCTTACCTTGTAGCCTGTGACTGCAGACTCATTACTCAGCGGGACTACAGGGTCCCACTTGATACTCAGACTGGAGCTCGAGAAAGTCCAGGAGATGTTGCCTGGGGGTCGCCGTGGAGCTGCCAGAGCAGGGAGAGTCAGGAGGAGTGTTCCTGATGTTTCCCCACCACGCACCCCCTTGCTTTCAGCCGGCCACTTTTTAGATAATCTGCCCATCACAGCTGTGCCCGGAACATTGTTACCGCTACTGAGAAACAAACTCCAACAGACGCTGGAGAAGAGAGGCGCCGCAGAGGCCGTGAACCCCACTCCCTTCTTACCATCAGACGAGCAGCCCTGGGGGCTGGAGCCCCGTCTTTCCAGGAAAGTGATCCGAGAGCCCCCCGCCCCTCCCGCACCCAGGCTGCCTGACTCACGCGGCTTCATGGTGGTGGCGTTGGCAGAGGGGCTGGCGGGCCCGGTGCCGGCCCGGTTGTAGGCCCGCACGGTCACGTGGTACTTGGTGTTGGGGTGCAAGCCCGTGACCAGGGCGCTGCTGTCCAGCCCTGCTGTCCTCACTCGGTCAGCGGCCGCTGCTTTGTCGCCAGCCTTCCAGTAGCGGATCTGAAGGGAGCGGGCGTGGCCAGGGGTCAGCGGTCAGCCCAGGGCCTCAGCACTGCGCCACCCTGGCTCTGCCTGGTCCCTCCATCCCGGGCTCGGAGCCTAGACACTCGACTATGAGGCCCACGAAAGAGATAAGCCGTGTGATCTGCTGCTCCCTTCTTGACGCCCAGTGGACGGCCCAGTCCAAGGAGAGAGCTTAGTACCTGAGCTGGATGGGAGCAGGTGGGTGGGTACAGACTCCACCGAGAGATGGCCTGCTCAAACACAGCCCCAATTAATGAACTCAGAAGTCCTGTGGGGACTCTTAAAGGCCATGGAATACATATTTGCAAAGCAGTCCCCCAGCCCCCACGCCAGCAAGCTCATGATGGCTGCCCAGTAAATGCAAACCCACTGGCATAGTCCTCGTAACACCAAGACCTTCTGGATGTTCTTCCAAATCAAGGGCAGGGTTTGGAGCTCTCTCTCCAGTGGGCTCACCTAGAGTATTTGCTGCAGCCCAGAGTTGACTACTGAGCTAGGATTTACAGCATCACTAGTATGATGGTTCCCCCTCAGACTAAGACATTTTCCGCTGGTCCTTCTTTCCCTTCCTCTTGCTCTGTCTCGCTCTCCACGTACCCCCACATGGACCCCAGTGTAGAATAATCAGGGGGCTCAAGGGTTGGGTCAGAAACTGTCAGGCTAGAGTTCCTCGGGCACAGATTGATGGGCTGGTACACAGAGGGGGTTGTGCTGTTCTCTGCCACCCTGAGCATGCCAGGAGAGCTGGGCTCTGGTGTGAAAGGGGCAGGCAGGCCATGCCCCTTCTGGATCTCCTCCTCTGGGCTCCCACAGTGTCCAGGTGGCCAGCCGGGCAGTATCATCAAGGCTGTCCACAGGCACCGGCCAGAGGATTGAGCTGAGGCTGCGAACGCGGTGCTGCAGAGACTGCATGCGGTGCGCCCGGTGAGTGCAGGAGAGGTTCTGGGAGGAAGACTGCTGAGCTGCGAGGTGGCCCTGCCCCTGACCCCAAGCCCCCTTCCCCTCCCAGTCCCTGCCAGCGCTCACCTCGTACCCCAGGAGGATACCGTTCATGTCCTGCTGCACGGGTTCCCAGCTCACGTTCATCTCCGAGGACGAGACCCCTTTGGCCCAGACCTTGGGAGGGGCCACCCTGGGCTCTGGAGACCAACACGGAATGGGTGTGGATTCCCGGGGCCTCCCTGTCCTGCAGAGCGGCCGCCAACTGGGACTGCTCTTGCGCAGGATTTAAAAAGCCCGAGGTGCAGGGTAGGGGCCTTGTGGGGGTTCCCAGAGCAACCCCCACCCCCGGGGGCCCACTTCTCTCCCAGACAGCCTTCCTCCTTCAGGCCTGAGCGGGGCATAGGCTGCCAGGGCTAGAAAGGCAGCCAGGGGTCTCCCCTGCCCCGCCTGTGGAGCCCAGCCGGGGTGAGGGTTCCCTCCCCCACCCTACACCCCGCGGACTAGCCGCAGGGGTGGGGGCGCCCGGCGGCCCCGGCGGCCCACCTTCCTCGGCTGAGTACACGACGGCCACGAGGCTTTCGGGCCCGTCCCCGCGGCGGTTGTAGCTGCGGATCTTGACCTCAAAGGGCGTGTAGGGCCGGACGCTGTCGTTGCTGTAGACGAAGTACTGGGCGTCGGCGCCGGGCACCCTCGCGGTCTGCCAGCTGGTGCCGCCCTGCCTGCGGAAGGACACCAGGTAGCCGAAGCCGCCTCCGTGCTGGTACTCCCGGGACATGGGCTGGGGGCGAGAGAGCGCGTGGGCTAGGGGCCGCGGCCGCCTGCCCCGCCCGGCCCCGTCCCCGGCTTCTCCCGGGACCTGCGCCCCGGACTGCGCCTTCCACCCGCCTTCCACCCTGCCGCGGGGGCAGGGGGGCCCGCGTTGGCTCTGGGTCAGGACCCCGCAGTGGCCCTGTCGGGCCCTCTCTGCACGCCGCGCCCCTCCGGAGATGAGTCCCAGGGGCCGGGTGGGCCGGAGGTGGGGGAGAACCGCCCTCCCGGAGCACGGCAGGTGTGTTCCTGCCTTTCTCCTCGCTGCTTACCGTCCAGGTCACGGTGAGCTCTCCCGGCGCTCCACCGCCTCCGCTGAGACCCGACGGGGCTACCGAGGGGGCTGTCGGGGCCAAGGGACAGACAGTTAGTGGAGACAGGCCTGCGGCTGAGCTGAGAAGCATCGCAGGGTCAGGACTCCCTTCCAATGGGCTATACACCCACAGAATGGACCACCTGGAAGGAATGGACAAACTCTTAGGAATGTGCGGTCTCCCGAGGAAGAAATAGGAAATATAAACACACCAAATCAGTAATTTGAAACTTTCAAAAAACAGACGTCCAGGATCAGGTGGCTTCACAGGTAAATTCTACCAAACAATTAGAGTTTACATCTGTTCTTCTGAAACTATTCCAGTGAGCCCTGGTTTTGTCCTCTGGGTCCCTCTGGATGTGGGCTCAGGAGTCAGGCGGATCTGAGATCAAATTTCACCCCTGCCACTTACTAGCTGTGTTTCTCTGGACAAGTTATTTAACCTCTCCGAGCCTCTGATTCCCCTCTCCAAAAGATAAGGATAATAATGTTTCTCTCAAAGGCTGTAAGAAAAACAGAATTAAACAAGACAGTGGCTGGCATATACATAGAGCATACACTTATAAATGAGCATTAGCCTCATTCCTCTAGTTGGTGTAAACTCAATAACAATAGACCAGCTCCAGTTTTCTTTAAGGGGAATAAATAATCCAGAACTGCAGTTAATCCAAAAAACATTTCTTTTGGGTTACAGGGTGTTTTTTGGTGTGTGTGGCAGATTTAATTTCCTAATTGTCTCTAGTATTCAAAAAGGCTGTTATTAAAAAATATATTTAATTAGATTGTGAAGCTTGGCAGGGAGTAACTTGGCTGAAGGTCAAAATATTTCTGCAGATGACACCGCAAATGGAGACTTATCACTTGGTTCTGATGAGAGTTGAGGGCCTTCTCATTTGCAAAGGGTACTTAAACACCTATTACCCTTTTCAGAGTGGAAAGGTTGAGGCCCAAGGCAGTTAAGTGACTTGCTTAAAGTCACACAG